ACTTATAGGCTTAGTTCAGATGATGCTTTAAAACTCTGAATTCTTGATGGCCTAAAATCTCAGATTGTCTTGTCCTGAGCCTTGACATCTTCACTTGAGATTTCTCCTTGAATACACGATCTGCAGAGTTGAGGCATAAAACAGAAAACGTTTTAGTAATGGTTTCTGGATTCTTCAGTGTTCTCCCCAGATTGGCCTGCCTGGTGCCATTTTCAATGGCTTCCCAGTGCCAAGCAACGATTCTAGAATTCTCCCGGGGTCTTCAACTTCACTTTTATTTTAGCATCTTGGCAGCGTCATTTCTCTGTCTTTGAGCTGTCATTTTAGCTCTGCAAGGATGCTTTATGAGTCTGTATCTGATTTCATTCTGACAGAAATTGTGTGAAGGCTCTGCTTTCCTTATCAAATGTTAGCACTTTGACACAAATTTCATTTTGGTTTTATGGTTCATTGGCCAGCTAACCCTTCTTGTGATTCAGCTGATGGGATGAGACCAAGTCTAAGAAACGTGTTTGTCAGAGTCAATAACTAAGACCCAGTCTCCAAAGTTAGCTTACTGACTTTCCTTTATTTTAATTACTGGGCTATCTACTAGCTTACAGGAAAAGAAGACAGTAGAGACAGGACTGTAAAACCATAACATCTGAAGAGAGCAAGAAGATCTGCCAGGGAGGATAAATCAGCAATCATAAACAGGACGCAATTCTCACTAACATATTGCTGACCTTTGAAACTGGCTTTAGAACTGGTCATTCTTTTTTTTAAGTTGGATTTTCTGATTAGAGCAGGCTAGAAATCCCCCAGCAAGAGATTAGTGCCCGTGTATCTGTAACACACACACATGCAAAATACATAAAGAAAAAGAGAAATAAGGAATAGAAACAGAAAGAACAAATATACACCCACAGGGGCACGCACATAGAGACCCAAATGTGTCTGTGTGTGCACGCACGTCCGCGTCTGTATTTATTTATTTATTTTACAGGGCTGCTTGATCAGTAATGGCTTAACTCCAGTGGCTGCTGGAGACGTAGGACTATGGAACAAGAGTCACTACATACAAACATTAATCACTAGAGAAAAGGTCCAGCTAACAAGTTATCATCTTGCCACCTGGAATCTGGATTCCCCAGGGCTAAACCTTTCACTAAAACATTCTGCTCTATATGTGACTTAATAACTACCATTAAGCAGTTACTCTGAGTGCATATACTCTACCCAGAACGCCGGTGTGGTTAACAAAGGAGGCCTGGGGCGAAGGCAGGATGAAATAGAGGAGGCCAATGCAGGCAAAGATTAAATGGACTGTGGGCGGCTTTGTGTGCTACCCCTGGGAAGTCCCCATCTCACCTCATGAGGAGTAGCACCTGAGGCCTTAACTGGAAGTTGATGAAGCTTTAACTTAAAAAAAAAAACAGAACACAAAACAGCTTTCAGTTTTGAAGGTCCTTTCCAAGGGCCAAGAAGATTCTTAACCTCGGGACCGAGACTGATCCAGCAGACCAGCCGCTGGAGTGGGGGACAATGCAGGAGGATCTCTTCCATAGGTCTAGAGCGACATGGGAACTTTCTACCGACAAGCCGTGTCAAATCAGGTTCTTTTCCTACAACAGAAGTGGACAACCTCTGTCGATCCTGAAATCCAGTGCTCTGATTTCCTTCCACCCCCCACCCACCGCCTAGGGCTTTTTACCAAAAACCAACCCACCCACCCCCAAAAAGCATGGAGTTGCCTCATTGATTTCACTGGGCCTCCTCTAAGCCTGCCTACCTCAGCCTCTGACCTTCTCCTCTTTGTGATGAGCAATTTTGCACACTAACACCTAATAAATGCTCATTCCCTTTATCCCAGGTTATTTCTTTAGCAAGTTTTTTATTCTTTCCCACCCAACAGAATGTTGGAAATAAGTGATGTCCAAAGCTCAAGATTCTGGTTGGCTGTCAATGAGTGCAATGACACTCCAAAACATGAGCAGAACAGGACCAAAGGTGAATATGCCAGATTGAGGCCGGGATTGTGGAGAAAGGATCCCCCTCAAGGCATTGCTACAGGAGAAGACATTGGTCAATGGCTCAGAAAGTTGGCAGCTGTTCCTTGCTAAGCCCCCCATTTCCAGATCGTGTGGTGCATTTGTAGCCCACCCCACATTTCTCTGTGCAGATAGACCCAAGCATATGATGACTGCTGGTAAAGGGATCAGAAAGAATTCCAGAAGCTCTGCATGTTTCCCCTATCTTGTTTCTCTTTTTAAGACCTGATACGGTTCTATTGATGCAAGAACTTGCAATTAAGGGAAGGCCTTCTGACCCTGATTTTTTTTTTCCTGGCAGATGTTCTGAAGCATTGTGCTGAGAGTACGGCAGCCAGTGAACAGTCCTTGGGCTTAAAAAGATGGACCACTTACCAAGCATGCCCTTAATTTGTTCAGTTCAGATAAAATCTAATTTGCTTCTTTTCATGAAGCAAACGTTTTTCGCTTCTTCGCTTCTGCTGTCTGTAACAAAGATGAGTTGATAATCTCACAAATGTTTCTTTTCAGAAAATATATTATACCATGAGATGCACAAATATGAGGCATTGATTACTAACTAGACAGTGGTCAGAGCTGAATATGGGACTAGCTTTATCCCTAGGTCAGATGCTACCAAAATCAGAACCAGAATAAACACCCTTGTCTACCTTCCATGCATATTCTAAGATACAAGTATCTCAAATTTCAGGGTTGGTTTGCTTTTCATGGAGAAAACTGTTACCTTCTGTTGGTTCAAGGTCTGCACCAACCTTTGTGTGGTATGTTGAGGACTACAATCCAAAAGTAGGTAGGAGCAAACCTGCTTTTTGGGGCTAGATTTTGGCATGTTAAGGAGTGAAGTAGGTGCCTGAACTCTCTGCAAGTCTTAAGACACCCATTTTGCCCTTTGACACCTCCCAAAAATGCAATAAAAGGGCTGAAAAAAATGACCTCATTCTGATTATGGGAAGGGCACTGTGGATCACAGAAGTGGGCTGGCAGGCTGTACCTCTTGTACCTCTGTCCTAAAACATGATGTATTGAGGAAACCACCATGACCTGGATGTACATCCTGGTTTCCACATCATACCAGTTGGGCTCACTTCACACACTAAGCAAAACCCAAACAAACTGAATGATAGCTTAGCAGGTTGGGTGAATCAAGCTACAGTGTCAAACCATTGTATAATCATGACACCAGATTTCAGTAAAACAGTGCTAAAGTTGCCATTCTTTCTTGAACTACTGCTTCGTCCTAATGGCTCAAAGTGATGGGTTCTTGAACAACCTGTTTAAAGTTTCAGTTTAAAATTAGTTGGACTTACTGTTTGTTTCCAAAGTCTTTGAATTATTTCTTCAGGTCTGCTTGGATTCACCTTCACATCAGCCACATCCCAACTCACAAAGATGGCCTAAAATGCCCTCTGTCATATTTAGCACTTTTTAAATTTAATGTCATTTGCCTTATCCCCTCAAATTTCTCCATTTTTATCCTACCCTAGGAGAGGCTGGTTTGTTAAAGGCCCCCAACAAGCATCTTGGCAGGTCTCCCTGTTCTTAGTCCAAAACGCCACATGGATTAATTCCCCACCAGTAGCAAGCCACAATGATAGGAAACTAACTTATATGCAATAATGTCATCATGTGAATGCTGCCATTATGTAGTTGTGTTCTAACTTCTGATGCAAGTATGTAAGGTGGATCATTTGTGTGACGCTGTCATAATGTATTTCTCCATTCTCTTCCCCTTCCCCATTGATGGCCATGCTCCCCAATTTCATGTTTTTTGTGATAGATCCTACGAAGGGCTGCTGGTGTCTAAAGTACACAGAGTAGCTTGGGGTAGAAAAACAGGACAAATTTACAGTGTGAGAGCCACTGTTGGTCTAGCAGTCCAAGTATTGGATTAGGACACTAGAGTGCCCACTCACCCGTGAAGTGTGCTCTTGCACAGCTCCCCAGGCAAAGTCTAGCAGGCAAAGAGCCTTCAAGTTACAGGATATGATTCTGAATCTGGAAAAGGGAAACCAGCTACATTTATTCTAAAGCTTGTACAAATAATCAAGAAGTCTAAAGGTCGTAAAGTGAAACAAGCATGAAAGCCACAACTTAATTCCACAGCATTATTTATCCTAAAAGAAAGAAGGACCAGATGCATTTAGCAGAAATCAAAACGTTCCTCTATGCTGACATGGAGGCCGCAATCCAGCAAACAATTGAGGACATGGCAACGTAGCAAAATATCTCTTGTGAACAGATTTCCAAAGCACAGTTTAGAGAGCCCCCGTTGTTTCAAAGTCAAACACCTGAATTTATTCCTGGTACAAACAGGCTATTCTGCTGGTGATGTTCTCCTTTGGGAACCACGCTGCTTAGCTTCGATAGCTAAAGCAAGCAAACATTTCTTAATAATCTCAAAAATAAAATCCGATTAGAGCCAGAGAGATGTGCTGAGGGTTGGCATCAAAATCCCCTGAACCCAGGACCTCCTAATGAAGTGAAATATATGAAGTCAACTAGTTTACAAAAAGACCACTTTCACACATATATAAATGCATGCATATACATCAGAAGCAGAGCTTTTAAATTAAATCTGTTTATTGTGCTAAAACACAGGCAAATGTGGGCTTTTTGATTCCATTATCTTATATTTCTCCTCCATGAAATACAAATGCCTTTTGGACAGCCCAGCGTTCCGTCTTTAGCCAAGTCAGTTTAATTTGTCCCCATGGCTTATTGTAAGAATAAAATAATTTATTACCCTTCTGAAACCACTGAAGAAACAGTGGGAGAGAAGGGAGATTGAATACAAATAAATAGATGTATATGCAAGGGGGGAGGAGGAACGTTTGCCAGGCTTTGACCACTACAGCTTTGAAACACCTGTCACTTATGGCATATTAGTGCCCGTCAGACTTCTTAGAACATTTTTCTTATGCAACCAATGTAGAACAAAACCTAAGTTTCCCATACGATTGCTCATTTTAGGCTCACCAGTCTGCAAGGTCTCTGACGGATGGAATGAAGTCAGGGCAAACTGCATCCTTGAGAGAAGCCCCCTTAAGCGAGAGTTCCATCCAACATCCCTTAGGAACCCAAGTGGAACTAAGAAGGCATCTGAGCGGTGGTAACAATCTGTTAGAATTTGAGAATGCTTGTGCAGATTCCAGTGCTTACAGAGAAACATCCGATTTGGAGCAGGACACCAGATGTGCTTTGCATTGTGAGTTATATCCATCTGCCTGCCTTTCCATTGCAGATAACTCCAGTGAAGACAGCCCGTTCTCTGCCCAAGCACCATACCTTCCTCAGCACCATGCCAAGAAAAATTCCAAGAATTTAACCTTTGCTAGGAAGCCTCTTCAGCAGAGCTCATTCCACAACTTTCCAGGGCTTCTTTCACCATGTGCTGGTGAAAAGAAGAAGTGCCAACACAGCCTTGAAAACATCTCTGGACCCCATCACCCATATTCCTACAGGTGTACCGTTTCAGAGCCTCAGCCTTTCACCCATCATGGCAAACACTGGAATGCATTAGGGCACAAGGGTGTTTCATATGCGTACAACGGTGGCCAGCAAGAGCCGGTAAACGGAGCAGTTTCATCTTGCAAACCTTGGCACATTTATACAGAAGAGATCCCTAACAACTATGCTTTTCATTACTCAGGGTAAAGATAATGTTTTATGAATACTGTTTTAAGAAGTACTCAATGAGATAGCATATTGACACCTACTTATTTTATTTTTCCACCCATTGAACAAACGTCAGCGTAGCCAAGGCTTTCTGGAAAAGTAGAGTTTGAGACGAAGGGCTGGTGGGAAGTAGCCCTGTGGGTGTTTGGGGAACAGCCGTAGGTATGAAGGCAGGAACAGGAAATGGCTGGAGACATCTCAGCATCAGGTGGTTGACGATGGGAGTGGTACTGAACGAGTGATGATCACAGGAAGGGATGCATTGGGATACCAAGGTAGAAAAGTAAGAACAAGCAGGAATGTGAAAGTGAGCATAAGAAATGTAGGCGGGATCCAAAGATAGACTGGAAACTAGAGAAGGGATTTGAGGAGAGGACTTGCATGATGAGAACATCATCAACATTGGATTATTTTGGTTGCAGGGTGCTAAAGGGATGCAGATGGACAAGGGGGACAGCCTAACAAGCTGCTTATAAAAGTCAGTCCCTTTTCATTGCTTTTCTGTCTTTTTTCCTGGCACGCCTCTTTACTTGCCCTTGTTTCTTGAGGCCACCTCAGCCACTTGCTCCTCACCCGATAAACAGAACCCTATCTCCAACGGCACGGCTCATCCAGGCAATAGAGCAGCAGCATCGTGAAATCTCTCAGCTGGCAGATGACCACCTTGCTAGGAATCAGGTGGCCAGCATGTTTCCACCCATAATCCAGAGAGGGGAGAGCGACTCGCAGCTCCATCTGGAGAGCTGCGAAGAGACCCAACCCGTTCTCAGCCGCAGCAATTCTGAAGGCTACTTGCTTCAGATGGAAAAGCAAAAGGAAAGGAAAGAAAAAGAGAACCGGAAGGTAAGCAAAGAGATTAACGAACGGAGCAGGGAGGTGTGTCGATTTTTATCCCGTACTAAATTACGTAGTCATAACGATTTAGTAGATTAGCAAGAGTTTCTGATTCTCAGTGGTTTCGCAGAAGTCACAGTAAAAAATATATTTCTCTCCATTCATAAACTAGGCAGCTAGACTCCATCTATAGTAAATCAGATGTAAATGTGAAGTTCTTGTATGACACTCTTGCCTAGAGTTTGTAAGTTAATAGGCATCTATCTGAACTGCCATTTTGCAGGATCCTGGTTCCCCAAAAATGTCTGTGCCTGAAAAGAGCATCCACCTTTTAGTTCTCCATGACCACCTGCAGGGTGAAGAGAAGATCTGGTGATTTACTTGGAGGCATCTGTTAGGAATAGCAGGAACGCAAAAAAGATGCTACAGCCTCCATAAGGGGTGGGAAAGGGTTGGTCAGTCACTTTGTTATTAATGACATTGTTTCTTTGGGGAAAGCAATTATTCCAAAGTATTAAACTTTCTGTTGAGATGATGCACGGCTGTCTCATCTTACATGAGGCATTCTAGTGTGCCTGAGAGAAGAGGGAATGCAGAGGGAATGCCTCTCTGAAAATCCAACTTTCCGTTCACCAGTTAGGGAAACCCCTTTTTCCCTAATGGGTGCCCTCCAGATATTGTGGGGGGACCTCCCATAACCTTCCAAGCAGTCTTGCGTCAGCCCAGCGAGGAAAACAGTGTAACCTCAGAAAACACCATAAGTGACCAACAGTTAATTACAGAACCCAACATTAAGGAAAGAGTGGAGTCTCCCCAGTCTGACTTCTTTGCCATTTCTTTCTCTCCTTCCTACCATACACAATCCGGCCTCTTGAGGGGCACAGCGGGCACCCTTTCTCTATTAAGCTGTGGTCCTTGTAAAATGGTTTCAAACACGGCCACTTGTCTAAAGTAGCAGAGAGAGGCTGCAAGTCCTATGGGATCATTTTCCTCCATGTATCCTTTGCTTTTCAGCTCGGCCTCCGTCCTCAGTTTTACAGGGGAACAAAGGCCATAGCATGGGTTTCTGAAGATTAAGATAGAAATGTCCTTGCCATTCTGCTACCAAACCCAACTCTGGGACACTTTCTCTGAGATTTCTCTTTGAGTTCCTTTTTAAAAAAGTGGTCCGGGTTTCCTACAGTGGTTTGTATGTTCAAAATATCATCAGAAATTCCCAAAGTGGCTTTTTTTGCACAGAGACTTGGGGCCTGTTTTAGGACAGACTAAATGCATTTTTGCACAGACTTGGGGCCTGTTTTGAGGCTTACTGCTTGACTGGCATTGAGAAGAAGTTAGATGGATTAAAATTGTAGCTACAGCGTAGATGTCTTCTTTTTCAGTCCCCCTCCTTCCCTTGTACTTAGACTATTTATCACCCTCTTTGGGAAGGAAGGGAATAACATTCTTATTCTGAAATTTCTGAAGAATTTCTTGGAAGGACAGCAGTGGTCAGAACTCCAAAACATACCTTGGCTGTTCCTCTGAAGTCCACACTTTCGAGAAGTTTCCTGCTCAAAGTTTCCCATTTTGATAGGTAAACCTTTCTCAGACCAAGCTGAGATGAGACAAAGTTGGAGAAGCTGTTCCACAGAATTCCATAAATGCAAAAGACATTGGAGATGAAGGTTTTCATTCTTCTTTACATTCTTCTTTGTTAGTTTCAGGTCTGCCTTTCCCAAACCCATTCTCAAATCTCTTTGGCACCGCTGGTTTTCCTCAAGTATGTAGTTGGGAAGTTGTGACTCTACAGTTAATGCTGAAATTTACAGTGGGAAATGATAGCTTTATGCTGAAAGTCTTAAAAATATAATTTCTTTCTGGCTTATCATTATACTTGAGCAATATTCCTAGTGCCCGGAAAGAACTGGGAACATTGCTTACTTCTGACATAAGAAACTATGGCTTCTATTTACAAGAACATTCCTCAGTGAGCCCGGGACTTGCATGATTACACTCACACATCACACATTTCCTCCTCTTCTATGTACTAAAGGAGGAGATCAGAAGCCTTCTGGATTTTAAACAAGCTGCGCTTCCCCGTGATAGCCAGATGCAAAGAACTGTGGTTTGTTTAAACTGTAGTGAATGAGAAGAAGCCAAGATCAAAGTGTAGAATCAGATTCTAGCTAGTATTTAAACAAATCACAGTTCGAGTTTGGCATTCACAGAGAACTTTGATTACTTTAAAACAGAGCAAATTCTTAATAGGAATAGTCTCCTTTTTGCAGCAAAGGAGAAGGGAGGGCAAGTGGGTGAGTTTCCAGTTTATTCACATAGTACAAAACTATTGTTTCCCATTGTGTCTAAGGTAGCCCTTGATCCTGGTTCTTCCTTTGTGGTATATGGACATATAAACTTCCTGCTTTTGTTAACTCCTCTCCCGATAGCTCTGTCGCTGTTTTTTCTGCTCTTCCTGTAGCTGATTCTTGCTGGGCCCACATTGTTCCTTGCAATTTTACCTCTTTGTTCAGGGCTCTAGGGCAAAAGGTTACATGAAGATGGATGTGAGGCTTGGAGGCCTTGGACCTGACTATGAAACCATCAAAGAAAAAGTAAGAAGAAGAATGCTGAGCCAAATGGGGCATTCATGTGACTCAAAGAAATCTTTGGATATAGTTCTCTATTTTGGGGATATGAGAGATCCTGACTGCTACAAAAGAGGTTGTGTGTGTGTGTTTGCATATGTGAATTTTATTTAATTTATTGATTAATAAATTTTATTTATGCATTTCTTTAAAAAACGTAAATCTCTGCTAGAGGGGAGAAGTTGATCATTACTGGCATTCTAATCATTAGGCCCTGTCTAACCTCAGAAATTGAAGAAGAGAAGGGAAAATGTCACTGGAAGATCTTAACAGGTCTTGACCACCTTCCTTTCCTTGCTATCTCCCTTGGGTTCTGTTCTTTGTGACCAAAATAAATAAATCAATGTCCAGAAAACTTCTGGCAGCATTCAGAGTAGATCATGCTTCCAGGCTGTAGCTCTTTTTGGTCTTGGCAGAACGTATCCATTAGTCAGCGTTCACCTGCAGAGAATTCCAATTGCTGATAAGTACGCCCAAGTTCATTCTCTTCTGGTGGGTTCAAGTGTGCATTACTTTAATGCAATCGAGCTGCTCCGGTGAATTTAGATGGACTTGGCTTTATCGCAAAAGGGAAAAATGGAAGTCAACGCAACCAAGCAAATGTAGTTGTCGAAGAGCTGAATGCACATTATGCCCTGTTAGGAAACATCAGGTGTTACTAGACCAAAGGAGAAGATGAACCGATTAGCCAAAAAAGACTCTGAGAAAAGGGTCTTTCCCTTATCCCCTCATTTTTACTTTATTTATTTATATTTCAATAAATATAAATAATATTTTGATGTTTTGACTTCAAATGATTTCACAGGTTGCTCTGAATGGAAGCATGTTGGGTATCTTCCATGTTACTGATACAACAGGGTCGGTATAGCCGTTACAGGTTAGCAACAGCATCAAAAAAAGTTGCTGTTTCAAGTAACACAAGAATTTGGTGGTGTGCAGCAGTTTTAGAAATTTTGACTTCCCCCGTCCTTACAATGATCGTATGCGTATACTTTACCTATTTCAACATAATCCCTTGGGTATTTCAAATGATGAAAGAAGAAACCCAAAAGCTCAGATATAATTAACACCTCACTTGACAAAATAAGTAAATAAGACCAGCAACAAATAAAACAATCTGCCCAACATTTTAGCAAGTCTTGGAACAACCTTTAACAGCAACTAGAAAAAGGTAAAGGTCTTCCCACTGTCAAAAGGAACAACATTCCACCAGGCTGGGCCCATCACAATGACTCTTATGATGGTGATTTTGGTACCACCCAGCCCTGCTGGAGAGCAGGTTGGGGGGACAATAAGTGAAATCATCCATCATATCCACATCCTGTCTTTTCTGTAAGAAATTCAGGGGAGATAAGCTCATAAAATCATGACTGGCTAAGTATAACTGAGCAGGGGTCTCTAAAACCTGGGATCCCCCCTGTTCTAAATCTAGCTGTCTGTGTGCCACGCTGCCTTCTAAAGATCACACTTGAATTTTTCAGTACTCATGAGCCTGCCCTTAAACTCCTCCCGTTTGCCTTTTGACAGTCAGAAAAGATGAAGCACCAAAAGGTTTATGCCAAGCAAGTAAACGAACAGAATCTGAAGAATATCGCAAGTACACGGAAACGTCAGCCAAAAACGGAGAACAAATCAGTGGTGTCAAGGCAGAAGGTAGGAATCAGCAAAGCAACACGGCCAGCAAGAGACTGTGTGGAAAGATCGAGACCGCCTTCTCTTGAATGATCAAAATGCCACTCATTCTCTGTCTTGACATGAATCTGGATCTTTAGCACTTCCATCAAAGGGGCGTGGTGATCCAAACATAGTCCCCTTCTTGCTAGCATTTTCATGACAGTTTATTGCAGTTCTTCTAGTTTTAGCATTCTGGCTTGAAATGCTAAGGGGGCAAGATTGCAGAAATCTTGCAAGATTTCCACTTATGGGGGGCAGGGTGGGCAAGCATTTATGTACCCTCAGACATGATTGTATAATGTGCCTACCACCTCAAAGAGTTGCCAATAAGACACCACTTAGCTGAGATCAAGTCCTACCAAATTTGGTGGTGGAGCAGCAGAAGGGTGGCATCTGCAGAGAAGCACTTCTGATCCCAAGCGTAAGATAAGGAAGGGAAGCTGTAAAATTTCCCTTGGTTTTAGTACGTGAACCAGACAATGTTGTTATTCATTCCTTACATGGACTGTGTGGCCAGGAAAACAGAAATCTCCATTTACCTGCTGGTTCTATGTTCTTAAAATTTTTACTTCCAGACCATTTTTCTGCCATGGTTCTATTACAAGTTGAAATCTGGAATTTCAACTTGGTGAAAAAAATTACATGGAGAGGTTTTTTTGAGGTTTTTTTTCCCCCCCTTTTAGATGGGGGAAGAATTTGTGGGGATGCTGATATAGGAAAACACACACACACACACCCCGCTTCTTCCTTGTAAACAGTCTCTTTCTAATCTTGGGTTAGAGATTTTTAATGACCAGTTTTTATGGTCTTATTTTCTTACTTCTGCAGGCCCTTGAGTATGCCAAGACAATTCCCAAGCCCAGACTCTTTGTCTCAAGACCGTCAGAACAAGAGACCAAAGAGGAGAAAAACCTGGCGCGCACTTTAAACGGAGAGAACCTTCCTCCAATCTCCTCTCTAGAATCGCTGAAAAACAGGCATGAAAAGGAGAAGCAGGTGGTCGCTGCATTCAAAACACTCCATATTGTCTGATGAGCCCATCCCCAGAGGGACCATCAGCCTTCGCGGGAGCAGGGCTACTGAGCTCTTCCACTCATCCATTCTCTTCTTGCCATGTTCACTTGGGGTCCTAAAGGACTAGCGTACAATTATGAGTTTGATGAACTTCTTTTAGATCTGGGACGTTTTCCATAAGTTGCATTCAGCCTTACTTATTTTTGTTGGATTTTATTGTTGATAATTAAAGCATTGAATATATGATGATCTAAAAGTGGTCTTTCTTTTCCCTCGTTTCCATGGCTTCCCTTCCAAAACCGTTTGATGGCTCAAGGACCAGCCTAAACGAAGCACCTGCTTTGAGCAGTAGACCAGGACAGAGAGTGAACGAGGCCAATTGCCCCTCTTCCCCATTTCCCTTCCCATTGGTGGCTCAGAGCTGTTATTTCATTGCACCTCAAGTGTGCGCTTTGAAGAGCAGCGGGTCATCATGTGGCATCCTATATGCATCATGGGGGGGGTACTCAGAGTCATGGATTGTGAGGGGGTGCCACAAGTTGTGGTGGGAGGAGAACCTGCCGTTCTCCCTCCCCTCAGGGCCACATCTTCACACTGCTGTCAAAAAATAAATGATGGTGCTCAGGAGGGAACAGCACAGAAGGCCTAATTAGGACGAGGTGTTTGGAGAAAGCATCAGGCTGCTTGGACGATGTCACCTCAGCTTGGCTGTTGCTGCAGCTGAAAATGGGCTCCTTGAGGACTTCCAAGTCCCTCCTTATCAAGCTTTCATCAAATGGCATGGAAGTGTTCTTGCCCTCAGGCATGTTTCCCTCAGCAGAAGAACAAGTTCTGACATCCAATGTATAATGTCAGTTGCTGAAATGCAGATGACCCATTTTGTTTTTCATTTCTTTCAACAGCCGTTTCGCACATTAAGTCAACTCTCCCTTGAGTTTAGCTCAACTCCTGATGACTTCATGGACATGTCCATGTTTTCTTTGGCAACAGTAGGGAAATGGTTTGCCAATACCTTCTTTAGAGATACACTTTCAGTTTCACGATCTGGTCTACAGTCCAGAGATTTCTGATCCAAAAACTATCCAGGCTTGACTCAGCTTCACTTTGCCAAGATCAGCCAAGGTTGGTGATCCTGCTGGGTCATTTGACACATTAGAGGGGGGAAATTCTGCTCTGCCACTGAGTGGCTCCTCAGCAGGCAATTCTGGGTCTCTGATGAAAATCTGAATGTTTGTCACATTCCCCTTATGCCATGTGCCTACTTCTGAAAATACAATGGATGGGTTTACACATTATGCTAAGCCATGTTTTGCTCAGTTTTGGCTTGTGCATGGGGCCCAGGATCTCATGACATCAGCAAGCAAGTGGGACAATTTTTTAGGGTTTTTTCCTCCTTTCATATTTTCTGGGGTTAATGGAGAGGCTGTTTCAGAATTATTAAGCCTATCCAAAAGCTTACACAATTTATTTGCTTTCTTTTCTACCAGAAAACAAATCCTTGCACCAGATTTCCACACCATGATCATGGGAGATTCTACTGCAAAAAAAGAGGCGGGGAGACCCCCAGCAATTATCTCTTCCTGGTGTAAAGCAGCCTCATTCATCTCACCCAAACTGAATTAGAGTTCTTTCACCCAGGGACATCAGTGGGGTGGGTCAAAAAGTCAAGATGACAGCTCCAACCATAAAAGCAAAGACCCACCCCTTTTTTACCACCCATATAAAAAAGTGCAGGACTTTGATCATATGATTATGAGCACCATCTTGACTTGATCTCTGACAATGAGATCTGTGGTTCCGCACTTTTTATGGGCAATGATTTGGGGAAGAAAAGATTCTGGGGTATGTCCTTCATAAGACTGTGGTTAAAATTAAGCCTTGGGCATTTTGGAGAGATGGCCAAATGTGTATGAACCTGTTTTTGCTTGTGATTAGAGGGGAGACTTTGGCAGGCAACCAGAGAAAATGTTGAGTACAAGCCAACTTTTGGTACAAACCAAGTGTCCCTAATATTAAGTTTAGATACATTGTCCTCCCCAGTTAACAACCAGGTAGACATTTATAAAATTCTTTGCCATGTGCTTGGTTTGGCCACTAGTTTAGACCGTTTTCATTGAGATTGCGCAATAAAAATCATTATCCATAACCCTTGCCCTCTCCCTGTTTCCCTGTTATTCTCACTTAGTGCTTCCAAAATGTAGCCTGTAAATCTGCAACAGAGAAGCATGTCTGAATTGCTGCTATTCAAAGCTGTTTCTCTCCTGATAATAGCAACAAAGCTACAGAAATGGTAGGACTTTGAAGTATGTCTGATGAGCTCCCTAAACTTGTTGTTTTTCTCATTAAAAGTGGTAATTCCTTTAATACAAAGCTCAAGAACCCATTTTTAATAAAACCTTTAGTGGGATATCAAAGAACTGTTTACTCATGCCTAATATTTTAATTAGATTATATTCTCAATTTAACCCATTACACACACACACATCCCTTTGATGAGCTTAGCCCCAGATGCTGGAAATAATGAATACTGGACCTTTTTAATTTAATGAGCATTTCTACCTTTCCAATCTGACTCTTTGTACCTATTTTTATTATTATTATTTTCCTGAGCCATAGAATTGAGTTAATTGAAGGAGTCTCTTACCACCACACATTAAGGGGTCTCAATTAGCATTTCCATTTCTGATTTTTTAAAAAAAAAATGCAAGTGTCATTTTTGCTTTGATCAGAGGATTTAGTTGAAGTAGCCTCAGTCTCCTGAAAATGAGCTGATGGGCTTATTATTAGGATAAAATGCAAATATAGCTATGTGTTTGACAATGCTTAATGTCTTAATTGCTCACCTTCAGTACCAGATATGCTTTTCACATCACCTGGAGTGCAGGACTATCTTGAAAAAGTTATGGATACAGCCTTTACTTGAAGAGGGATTTCTATGGTAAATCTTCCGATCCAGACCACTAAACTTTGAAAGTAAAAGATCTTACCAAGGGTGTGTGTGTAAGAGAATTTAAATCCTATTCATTCGGATGATTTTCCTGCCAGGATGGATTGTGAAGAAGGTATAGTCTGAAAATATTGGAATATAAATCAGAGGTGCTCAATTTTGTTTAGCCGAGGATGACACTGATTTGTGAGTAATGGACCAAAAGCTGAATTCCACAATGGACCAGGCCCAGAACAAAAGTTCCATTATTAATATTAATTAAATGGATAACAATGAATTGATCTAAAATAAGGCACTCATGTTTCCATAATTAATTAAGCCCCATCTGTATTTTTCTCTCCAGACAAATCAAGAGGAACTGAATCCTCTTTTGAATGCCTGAACTTTGTCTTGACACTGTCATCATTTGCAGAACTTAGGAAAACACAAAGAGGACTTTACAACTTTATGACTATCAACATCTTCTTCCATACTTCCTTGCTCTGTAACACTGTGATTCCATGGAAGGCAGCCATGTTTTTCACTTAAGGAATGTCTGTACTGAGTTGTGAAACACTTAACACTTACTACTGTCTCTGTTGTGCTTGAGCAACCTTTTTCTTACTCTAGAACAGTGTTGCTCAATTTCATCAACTTTAAGATGTGTGGACTTCAACTCCCAGAATTCCCCAGCCAGCCTGGGGAATTCTGGGAGTTGA